GGGTACTATTGTAAAACCATGCTGCTTTTCCAAAAGGATCCGGTTTTTATTGAGATACGCAAACAGCTCCTTCCGAATAATCTTTTCTGAAATGTTAACAACCGCGCTGGTTAGGCTAAGGGGTCGGTAGTTCTCGGGTTTGTGTTTCGTAGTTGTTTTGAAGATAGGACTTACTATGGCGTTCTTTCAGTCTTTTGGTAAGCGACTTTGGGTTACGGATATATTAAAACATATACTTAAGTGATTCGTGACAAAATTTGCTAATTCCTTTAGTAGCCTAGGATGTTTTCTGTCGGATCACGCTTCTAGAAGTCGTACTTCTAAGGAAACATATATCGTAATTTTATTGTAACCACAAATAAAGAATCCTGATAGGCGATTTTAAAGACGACTGCTTAGTATCACTAAAAGGTCTCAATATTTATCGTCTGGGTCGATAAATCAATCAGATTTGTAAATGTGAAATTATTTTAATCTGATTTTGCATGATTTAGGTTTTCAAATGACTTTACCGACTTTTCACTTTCAAGATACCATCTAAAAAAATGTGTTTGTACAATTATGTTTATGTTTCCAGCATCTACGTGACTTTGGAATTCCCGTCATGCGCACTATCTGTTTTCGCTGACGAATTTGCTGTAACTGACTTCAGTGGTTCACTTTCCCTTATGTGTGGTGATTTTAATTCATGTGAATGTAGCTTTCTTTTGTGAATAAGTCACCAAAATGTGGTGGATATTTCCATTCGTTTGGACATACATTTAGACTTAGTTTTAATCAATGATGTGTGAATATATTTTACTCGTAAACGTACCTTGTTGCGTCTTTCTGATCGTTGTATGATTCGTGTTCTGCCTAAAGTATAAGGCAAACTTGAAAAGAGTATCCTAAATCTGAAATAAACATGTTTCGCCCGATAATCTAGGGATTATTTACAGATGACTGATTGGAAAATATCGTCACTTTATCAACTGTTATTTTAAATTCTGTTTCTATACTTGTTGTCCTACTGAAATAAGTTTTGCAAGTTTTGATCTACTTGCATCTATACAACTAAAACGATTACAAAGGCTAAAAGAAAGAATATACAAGGAGATAAACTCCGTTGAATTCCGAAAGCTGAATAGACTAATAAGCCTAGAGATTAGACGCCTGAATTCAATGTCTACTCAGATACTAAGTTCTTGTAAAAACTCTTTAAGTATGTGGAAACTCCTTAAAGAGCTTACAGGTGAGGGACACATTAGAAGCGATAACTATCTGAATGTTTGTACATCAGTCATCTGATATCATGCTTTACATTTCCACAAGTTTGAAGAATATTTATGTTCCAGTTTTCATTGAAACTATTGTTCGAACATGTCTCTAGTCACTTGACTCGTCCCAGTGTTTATGACCTGACGAAATCCCAAACCTCTTTTGTAAGAAGTTTGCTGCCGTTTCTCGTCGCTTCGCGAGCATCATCAACTAATCTCATATAGATAATTTGGAGAAAGATAAAGATAATCCCAATGTCCAAAAAGTATCTGGAGATAAGAATGTAAGATCTAGACTCATACCAATAGCCTCACCTTTTCTCGAAACACTGGGAAAACTGTTGCCAATCTTACTTTAAACCTGGATTAAGATAGCTTATTAATCCATATCAGCTCGCTTACAAATGCAAATTAAGTACCCTAGATGCTGTTCTTGCTTCGCATTATAATATAGCGTTCGGCATGGAAAAAGGTAGAAAGTATGTTCGACACGCATTTTTAGACCATAATTGTCGTTGACTATTCCAAAACCGCCACAAACTGGTAAGTTTGTCAGCGCTAACACTGGCAGCCGGATAACCAACTGGCTGGGTTATTATTCCTCCAGAAGAGAAAAGTACACTGTGTTTGGAGAAAATTGTTCGACATCTCTACAAACTCAAGGTGTGCCAGAAAAAGCTGTTCTTTACCCTCTTATTTTTTTCCTACATAATCTGCCATCTTTCACAGAAAACACTTTAGTTAAATATGCGAACGATCTGACTGCATTAATGCCGATTTATACTTTTCCATATCCTATTGAAGTGAATGAGTTCGTCCCTTATTGAACAATGGTTTGTTGTTAATAGTCTCACACTTGATTCGTCTAAATGTCAAGCTGTTAGCTTTAGCCTGAGATATGGGCAGTGTCTGAACACTCCGTTTGAACCCCATAAACCCTGTACTATTGGAGATTCGTTGATGAAAACAATGTCAATGTCAGAAATCTCTCTTGGTCTTCTCCTGTTTTATTGTTATCAAAGGAAGTTTTCCGTCTGACGTGTTACATAAAGAAGCTGTATGCTTTTTTGACATTATAGAACATTTACTCTTACTATTTGTCAATTATTGCATATCACCTGTTATTTTTTACTGTTCGCGACTATTCTTTCCCCGGCTTTTGAGAAAAGACTTTTGTGTATTCGAAATAGTGCTGAAGGCAGCTAGCAGGGTGTGTGGCGAATATTTTAATGCCATTATTAATATGGTTGTGGCTAGATATCTAACATCTTGCGAACTCCTGAAAGGTGTTATCTTATCAGATATTGACCATACACTTCCCTCGAATCTTTCCCCTAGTATACCTTCTAGTAGAATGAGTCGTCAATACATTAGAATCCATGCACGCAAGAAAAAAACTGCCTCCAATCACCTAAAATCAAAGCTTAGTTTATGGAGTCAATTGTATGTAGTGACTCACTTTTATCACGAGAAAACGATTGGTTTATTTAGAACAATTGTTGTTGTAACCAATTGTACCAGTGACTGCTTAATGTGCTATTTGTTTAACCGTTCTAAAAAGCATCTATTATTCACACATTTTGATTGTGAACTCACGCGAATTCGGTTACGCTCTGTAACCAAACTTGTATCCTGGCACGATCTCGGTATTCTTTCGATACCACGAGATCGCCAGCAAATATATCTCGACTTGGTCCATTAACTGTCTTCTGATATTTGGCTTCTCGGGGATCTTATGGAGTCATTTGGCACGAGTTTCTTGGTAGCGGTGTTCATAGTCAATCTCCACTCGACTCCACGCTACATGTACTAGTGGCCAAATTAGGACTCATTCGAAAGAATTCGATCAGCACTTAAAAGGATAGACATTGTTTGATGAAACATTTTCTAACAAACGTTAAACATGTAGAAAGCTCAAGGATACATGAATTTGATAAAACTCTCGAAACTCACTCTATTTTCACTAGATTAGGCTTGAAACATGTAGATGCGCATAACAAGATGTAAATGATTATGTGTAAGTGTAAGACATTGGAGAGAGATAATTAAATATGGAAAGAGAGAATAACTTACACAATAGATCATTTCAAATTTTAGTAACGAGTAGGTGGCGCGGCAGTCGTACTGGAGTATATGAAAAGAATTATGGATTCAAGATATCCAGATAGTAGTAGGTTCAATTATAGCGAATGGTTATGGCAATCATCAACGTTGTCTTTTGGCTGGAAAGTATTACGTAAGAACTTGATAAATAAGATAGAAGAAATTACAAAAAATAGATAAAACTCATTTCAATAAGAGTTTCTTAAATAATCAGCCGTACTCTAGATTTCATAAACGTTTTCCTTATACAGTCATCTTTCAGTAACCACAAAGAACACTAAAGTTAAAGTGCAATAGTTAGGCGCTCCTAGCGAAAGCCTGTGAAGTCATGAATGTTTTCTACTGAACAACCTCTTATTAGAAGAAATAAGATATCCAGTGCTTTTTAGTTTTTGATGGCTATCTAGGATCAATACGTGATGTAAAGTATAAAAATAGTCTAAGAGACACTTTAGGGTAGGATTTTATTGAAACTGTTAGTCATGCTCATAGCTAACCAATCACATCGTTGCTTAGTCTCCCACTGCGTTAATCTGGTCTGATATGTCTGTAGACTATTCCTGTTGCATTTGACCTGTAAACTGAAGGACATTATTATCTTGTTATATGAGTGTGACTCATAACTTTTATTCATTTCGATAAGAAACTCAGTACTGGTCGGTATGTTTGTGCGTTCAATTTAATGACTATAATTTCTTTATTTATTGTACTAATCTAATTGTTTTTACGTTTAGAAAAAGATAAAGTTTCAAGCTAAGTTGCCCTTATTCTGACTATAGCTTTCACATAGACTCTAGGATCGCCAGTATCACGTTTACAGTTCTTATAGTAATAGGATAAATTGAATAAAAAGTTACATCAATACTGGTAAAAAAAAATCTACTATAATATTATTAACCTGATTGAGAAAAACAATTCACCATTGAAATGATACTAAACATGATTTGTACATAAATGCCAGAATGAATCTGCATCGGATACAAACAGTTAAATTATATCATGTGACATTTTGTAATGATAAATTAAAATTTGTAGTTGACATCAAATTTAAAGGTTAAAATTTGTTTATTAAAACATAATTAATATTAATTCACTTGGTATTGTTTGGCTTGTATCTTCCCATTGAGGTTTAAGACTGCAATTGATCAGTCTGTTATTGGCATATGTGCATACTGTGCGTATGGCTATCAGGACTCAGTAGCTGAGTGAATAACGCGATGGCGTTTGAAGCGAATGGTACTTGGTTCGAGTCACAGAGTGAACACCAACTCTCTGAGATGCAGGTACATCCAGCTGACGATTCCCAAATAGGACGAAACGCGCGTCCTGGATTCCACTGCTAGCCACAATCCATCATAATTAATACTATTTTTAAGTTAGGTAAATATATATATGAACAAAGTAAAATTGTATAACTTCCATTCAATTATTTTGTTAATCTCATAATAACATAACCCCTTGAAAATAACCGAATTAAAAACGACCTATCACATTTAAGAAAGAACTCAATGATTGTGTAAAATATCATAATGATGAGTACATGAATCTTCTTATCACAGGGGGGGTGTTCATAAAGATGATTGGATTTGTAATTTTATATTAAAGAAAAAGGATTTAGTTTATAATTTAATTGAAATCCAGAATATATGAGATGCCTTTTTCGTCCTAGTAGGAAACTTCTTAAAAGTTGAATTTAAGACCAGTTAAGTTGAGTGTTTTTGGTGATTATTTAACTTTTTCGACTGGATAACTTAATCGAATAAATTTCTGTATCATTCTGAATAAGATTGTTAGTGCCTATTTCAAATTTTAAACTGTCGATATAAAATACAGTTTAGGCTTTCCCACATATGGTTTAGCAATATTTAATTCATATCAACACGTTTACAGGATATAAGGTCATGTTCACAAAATCTAACTATAGGTGCCCTAATTGATAATGAGTTAGATTTATCTCATCCGCTAGCAAAACTGTTCTCTAATTGGATAGCTTTACACCTTATTGTAATTGGTTAAAAGTGATAGCACTAATACACGTAAAACTAATTAAAAATTCAACATCTCACCCTCTTGCACCAATCACATGTATCCGTTTTTTTCTATATTACTGGTTTTACTTCCTGAAATGGTCCATAAAATTTTCGCTGAAACACTTTTCTATAAGCTTCACGTATGATATTTCGTTTATTCAGAGAGCAGAAAAATGGTTGCTCAGGAATTCATTGACTTGTTCAATTCAATATCGTTAGCACAGCGTTCTACTGTTGAAGATTTTGCTGATCGATTAAACTTATTCACTGTGATTTTACTGCTTATCACTTGTATTATTGTTTCAACAAAACAATATTTATTAAATTCGATTTCATGCTATATACCAGTGAAACCAGCTGGAGAAAATTTCAATGATTATCTTGCAAATTATTGTTGGGTACATGGAACAATTCCATTGGCTGATGATGAAAGAATGCCAACTACAGAAGCTCAATGGGAAGAATATGATTCAACACGAAGAATCAGTGAGTCGATCTTATTGTACAGTTGTCACTGTTTTACTATATGTTTGATACAATGTATTTTATTTATAAATAATATTCAATACAAACAAAGCTAATAGTAGACATCAAACTATAAGTGATATCCTTTTATAGTTCTATGAATAATTTAACAATTTAATATATTTTCTCGTGGTTAAATGTTCAAAAAGTGTAAACATGGAAACAGGGACTTTATTAAAAATTCAGAATACTGGGGAATATTTGTAGTTCATGTGAGTGGTTTTCGTTGTACTGTGTCTTCTGACATTATTAAGACTATTAAAAGAAATGAAACTAATAAAACCATTGAAAGATAAAGTCAATATAACATACTTAAGGCTTGTGGAATTACCAAACAACTTACTTCCGCATGAGTATAAATGCTTATGTGTTGTCCATAATGATAATAAACGCTTCAAAGTTAGGCTATTCAGCTTATAGTACACAACAAAAACACTGATTTCCAAGTTTTTTTTTCATTAACTAGATTAGACTTGCACCGTCAATAATAATTAGATCTTTAGATTTATCAATGATACATGTATCACAGAAGTGATGCTTGGCGTTTCTTTCGTATAGAAATTTATTATAAATTATTTGTTTGATTTTAGAGTGAAATATTAACTAGTTTTTAGTAACTTTGTATTAATCTATCGAGAAAGTCAAACTGGTAGTTTGTATAGTCTCTAAAAACTTATTAATTTAAGATTGGAAATCTTAACTATTAAATCCCTAATTGAAGTCATGAGTCAACTGAAGCTAGACCACCAAGAAAAACCTGGAAGCACTGGACGGCCGTTTCGTTCTAGTATGGGACGACTCAACAGCGGACATCCACGATCCCGCACTCCGCGAGATTCGAACCCAGGACCCATCAGTCTCGCACCAGGCGCTTAACCATCTAGACCACTGAGTCGGCATCCGACGGTGTTAATGTCTAACTTCAACCTGGCGCGAGACTGATAGGTCCTGGGTTCGAATATAGCGGGGTGTGGGATCGTGAATACACACTGCTGAGGAGTCCCATATTAGGACGAAACGGCCGTTCAGTGCTTCCAGGTTTCCCATAGTGGTTTAGCTTCAATTGACTGATGATTTCAATCAGTGAAATTTCTAAAATCTCCACAAAACCGCTTCTGATTTTAAATCCCTAATCACTTATTGACTCAGCAGTCATTTTACTGCTTTAATATATCTGTGGATTAAGTGATGTATTCTATGTGAGTTTTTAAATTCCAGTTTTTATAGGCAAGAATTAAAAAATTTACACTATCCTACCTCCTTATTTTATTGATTATTCAACTGGTTATAGCTACTCAGTGAAAGCTGCAGCACCATACACAACTTAGTGAATTATGTTATACATAATTTTGAATTGAGGCTAGCAGTAGAGTGCAAGTCAAGCGTTTCATCTTATATAAAGATCATCAGCTGAGCAGACCTTCATTCCAGCGTTTGTGTTTACCCATGAATTCAAGCATAATGCTTGTCGCTTCAAACTAACACATTATTTTCTAAGCTATTAAGTAGAATCCAGAAAAACATAAAACTTGTAATTACAGACAACGGAAACTGATCGAATTCAAATTTTTTCGAAGTTTATGCAGTCAAGTTAGCGGACGCAATTTAAAGTTATTCTTGCAAATAAATTACTAATTTCCATAGTAATCATAAGTTAGAATGTGGATGATCAATGAGGAAATAAAAAATGACAAAAGTCCACTCATATTTCCGTCAATTAATGTTTTGAGAGCAAGGACATTGTTTTGAGCAGAATAAAATGAATTGGCTTCATGCTGCTAGTAAGTTTCCAGAATGTTTTTTTAATATAGGATATATATATTTTTGAAAGAAAATCATGTAGCGTCAATTTCACCCATATATATATTGACAACGACGTACAACCAAATTGAGCTATGTAGTCAAAGTCCACTTTGTAGTTTTTATTTTCTAAATTCATTGATAGTAGGTGGCTAACGAGAACGTAACCGAAGCAAAATGAATTGATATTATTCTGCTCAAATTTGTATTTTTGCTGTTTTTAAAAATCTATGTACACAAAATATATACAAGCTTCGTCAAAGTTTAAAGACCACTTCTAAAAGCGTTTTGCGTCAGTTTGGAATTTCACTTGCACCATCTGGATGGCAGGTGAGGATTCCGTCAGTGTGAACCATCTACAGATACGAACTTCTAATAATTAATCAGTATTGAATAATGGCTTCGTAATTTGCATCGCGAACTGATCTAGACAACCACTGAACACGAGAAGGCACTTGACTACCTTTTCGCCGTAGTATAGAACTCAGCACTGAGCATTCGCGACCTCACCGGCGACCAAAAACTGAACCCTCACACTTTGCATTGAGCACTTATCCTTTAGATTTCTGACTCGACATCACATTTTATAACGCCAAGCGTTTCTCTTGTACCAATATTTATGTCTTCAAATAAATAAATAAATAAATAATAATAAGCGTTTCATTATATTGCTAATCACCATCCCATATAGTCGTTGGGTAAATGTCTCACAGCGCAAATGATCGGAATTCAATATTCACTACTTCTCACGGGGACTTCAAGAGTTGTCTCTTGAAGTTAGTCACATAATAACATATGATTATTGTTAAAGGTTCGTAATGTATGCTATAAAATTCAAAAGTAACCGCTAATCCCTTACACTAAGAATATCGGTCTGTTGTAGGTAGTGAATTGCATAGGATTCTATATCTTGAATCTCTTTTTCAGATAACTGATGTACTCCATTATATTGATAAACTTTTCACTAATGACCAATATATATAAAAAGCCTTCAGTCGAAATTCTCATTTGGGTATTTATTCAAAAACATGGATTAAATAACGAAGTGATTTTGCTTAATTAAATCTTCATCATAATTCTACACTACGTCATTTGTAAATCGCACCTGTGTATTGAGTACAATGTTACATAAAAAAAATTAGGGCACGGGTGGTGAGAGTGGTCGTATGACTTTCTTTAAATCATAAATAGTATGTTTGTTAGGAGTGATACCAATAGTTTCGATTGTAGTTAGCTGATGTACATATAAATAACACGGTTAATTCGATGAAGTATAATGTTCTATCTGATGTAATCCCTAGTGTCTATCAAGTAGTCAACTGTAGAGCTCTTAAAACCTCGTAATTCTCCCATCCAACACTATGTAGGATGAGATCCTGAAATTCTACCAGGCGATGAGGAGAATCTATCACGAATGAAGTTATCGTATGATACTCCGTGTCATCCTAAAATTGTCACTGTCAACTGAAATTCACCGATAAGTTGAACAATTCGAATGTAACAAAATTAATTACATTGTATTCATTGTTGTTTTTTAAATTACCGGACAGAGAAAGCAGTATAATACAAAACGTTTGCATCCTGATCACAAATTATAAGGTTCGACAATCAAGAAAGTGAATCAGTACTCAAACGTTAATTAGTATTTCTAAATCTGTCCCGACATCTGATAAGAAACATTTTAGGAATAATAATTAATAATTTTATATATGCATATAAATATTCTTGTATATTAAAGTCTGATGAGGATCTGGTAGAAAACAATATTGTTCTCTTCTACGTTATGTTCTAATTCACGATGTGGGAATTTTGAATATTTTATAAATTTATCACATCTGTACTATGTTTCACTATTTTAACATTTATTCACAATAGTGTAAACTATACAGCTGATCTTAAAAAATAACAAGTATTCGTTCATAGTTATCTAGATTATTCCAATGACCTATTTTCCGAAATTACTCACCTTAGTTTTTTCTCTAGTTAGGGGGTGGTGATCAATTGGTTTTTCACAATAATCCAAAATTGTCTCCAAAGTTCAATCGGTATTGTTCTTTGAAGTTTCAAATTGAACCATTATAAGTTGAATAATATCAGGAAGTAAAAAAACTATGCTAATATGATTGTATAATACCATTCTCTCAGTAACGTCTTGATTTCCAAACATTTATGGAATTGTATGAGGAATCGATCAAATTTCATTCTATTGCATGTTTGTTTCATATGACACTGGAGGTGGAATGTGTAAGATTTTTTATCTGTAAGAAAGTTAACAGATGCTAAATAATGAGTAGACATATAACAGTGGTGTATAGATGACAAATAGATGAGGATATATGAAATTAATAAAACCATTTGTATAATCCCAGTAAGATTCTGCAGGATGTATGCCACCTTTTAAATCTTTTATCTCTTCAGTGTTGTAATAATATTTTTCCGTTTCCCATACCCTAACCAATGTCTCATAATGCTGAACAGCTATAAATCAAAACATATCGAATTAGCTCAATAAGGTCTAATTTTATGCCTCACTTTGCTCGTTATCAATTTTCCTAATTTACTAATAGTCGGAATCTTTGTACCAATCTACCATTCATATTATTGGTGGGTGACGGATAACTGTAGAGTGATTAAAGGCCAATCAGACTGTTTCTTAGAATGTCCCACTCACTGCTCCAGTTGATTATTCTGGCAGTACATGGATACCAGATGCAGTAACAGCTGAATTTTAATGCATTTTTAATGAGTTTCACGTTATTTACTTTATTAATTTTACTTTTACTGCACACTACTGCTCGTGACCGATCATTAAGTAGTACTTCTCAGTCAGTCTAAATTGCCATTAACCCTTATCAGGTTCGTAGCCTATAGAGATAAGTTCATATCCATCTTTCAGTTCACTAGAGACTTGTAAACGCTACTTTCCTTTTTAACATTTCAGTTTAATCCATTGATAGACATCACTGCTGTTTTCGAAAAATTTCGAGATATATCAGGATGAACATCCACATCATGTTGTTCTTGGAATTTAACTTTTTCTTAATAAGATCTCCCATATTTTTCTGCTTCCAGTGATACTCAGAGAATTATGTAGCTTCAACAGGACTTGATTAGAATCCGGATTTATGCTCCAGATAGAGTAGCATACTATTCCCAAATCT